CCCCACTTCAAACCCTCCACTGCAGCAGCAGCAGCAGCAGCAGCCGCCACCACTCCAAAAAGCCGTTTTGACCAAATTCGTCGCTGGATCTGTGTGCCTAAAGACGGCAACTGTGCTACAGCCTGCTACACTCAGAAAGAAAAATCAAAATTAATTTTAGAAAATCTCCCTGAAAACTTAAAAGTTTTTCTTGTGTTTAGAAATAATTTCGAAATCGACCATTATCTATTTTATAAAAACGTATTCTATTACTAAGAAATGCACTTATAAAAAGTAGAATTCATAATAACAACATACTGAAATTAAGAAATTTAAATCGTGGTCTGAAGAAAGCCACCACTTTCTATGTTAGAAGTTAACTTTCTGAACAATAAGGCAAGGAAACCTTGGCGCCAAAAGTATGTCGATGTTCTAAAATTCAGAGCGATTGTTTTTCTGAGTGTAGCTGAGCCGGAGCCGTAGTCGGAGCCAGAACATTGGTGGTCCACTCCTGGTTCCATGGCATTTTTTACTTTTTTCTTTTATTTATTTTTATTTTTTGCTATTGCTACCAATTGTGCATGCAATTTATTTTTAAAGAAATAATTGCTCTGCTGGTTGCTCTACCAGCGAGATTATGCAAATATTAGTTGTTGTCGTACTCCATTGCCAACCAAATAACTTGGCTATAATAATACTCAATAGTCGCTTGTAAAGAACGGCAAGTGAAAGAGTTTGCATATATATTCTCTCCTAATTTGAATATGCCACACACAGATCCAACCACAGATCCAACCACAGTGAAAACCTTTGCACAATTTTCACATAAATCAATTGCACTGGCAAATACATATACATTAATTACAGCAATTACAATATTTTTTTTTAATCTTTCATAATAATAATTGTTCTATGGCGCCACATTTATGGCGACTGCCTGAAAGTATGTGGCGAATAATTCGATTTGCAGACAGACAGGAACGTGGAATGTATTTCTGTAATATTTGTATATTTTGTGCATAAGTTTCATAGGTGAGCTAATAATAATTAGATAATTATAAATATAATAGTAAGGGTTTTTTTTTACCTATAACTTCTAACAGCTTTGTTAGTATTTTTACAGATTTCCTTAAACATTTCACTCTCATAATTTCAAGAAATTCTTTGGCAGATATGCCTTTGACTTAAGTTATGAATACCTTATTAATTTGCTTAAAGTAAAATGAGTGTAAATATAATAATATGTTATAATAACATATGAAGAATATACAAATTGAATTTTAAGCAAAAGTTGAATGGCATTAAGTTTCACCTTACAACTCTTTACAGTTAGTCAATTTATTTTCACAAACGCAGCTGTCTTTTGCCAATTGCATGCTTCAACTAGCAACAAACACACACAGCAGACACACACACACAGCTCTTATGGAACATCAAATTCAAAACCCTAAGTTCAACTTGTAACTTTCTGGGGGCAGATAAGCAAAAGAAAAGAAAGAAAAGAAAAACATGCCAAAGTTGTTTGTGCTGCCTCCTTTTTGGTTAATGAAAGTGGCAGTAAATGAAATTGGCATCACGTTATTATTTTTGCTGTTTCTTTGTTGCTGTTTTTCTTTTTGACAGACATGTGGGCCTTTGCCAAAGTTTATCTTATAAAACAACAACAAGCACTTAAGTGTTATATGCCACCGTATTACAACTGAACCGAACCGAACCGAACCAAACAGAATCGAAGAGAACTAAACACAGAACCTCGAACTCGTCGCGGTCAGAAGACCCAAAATGCAACGTAGCATAAATGAAAGAAAGCTGATAAGAAACAAGTAACACACAAACCAAAAATCAAAAACAAGGCAAAAAAAGAACCTGGCTAAAAGGGCGGCACGAGAAATTGCTGCCCGCATAAAAGACATCGCAGCAGCAGCAGAATACTGAAAGTAATAATATAAAATAAAAAACCGAAATTGAATGTTGCGATTCCGCTCGACGACTGTTTGCGTGGCGGGTCCAGGTGACAAGCAATTCCCCACAGGTGCGCCAGGCCTAAAGTAAACGCTGTGTGTGTGTTTGTTGTGTGTGTGTGTTGTGTGTGTGTTTTTTGTATGTGTGTGAGAGTGTGAGCCAAAACATATTAGCAATTGCCCTTAGCGCTATAAGACAAGCCAAACATTTTGACATGGGTTATTATAGTAGTTGTACACTCAACAAAACAATCGAACTTCAATTTAATAAGTCGCCTTATTTTTAGACACCTCACTCAAATTTAGAGAAGCAGTTGTAGAATTTTCATTTATGTTCAGTTTTTATTTATATGTATTTACAAGTTATTTCTAGCATCCATTTGACGGTATTTTCATTGGTTCGATTATAAACTACAATTCAAGTTTTTCTCTGAGTGTAGGAGTCAGTGCCGTCTTGCCAATGTGGGCTGAGGTGAAAATGAGGCGAGCCCGCAAAGAAAAAGAATGAAAAAAATCCCAATGGATTCGAGGATCTGACCCTTTCTGCGCCTGGGTGTTGCACCCATGTCAATGCACTGACAACTGGCGTTAACCAAGCTGGAAAGAAAGTCCAAGTCACACTCAAAACTCATAACGTATCATATCATATCATATCGGGGAGAGTACAAATGAATATATTTATATATATACGTTGTTAAAATTTTTTAATGAGTTGCATTTCGCGGTGCAAAACGTGCAAAAGCTGGGCAACATTGTATTTCCGTTCATTATTATTATTGTATGTAATTTTTTTTGGGAGGGAGACATTTCTTATCTGTTGCATGGGCTGGGCAACTTATCAAGAGTGCCTCACTGTCTGTCAGGAGCGTTTATGATATGTTTACCCTCAAGCAGTAAAGTGCCAAAAGATCTGAAATGCTGTCTGTTTGCTTTTCGCGTTTGCCAATTAGCAGCTGCTTCAGCGGACATCGGCATGCAAATATTTATGATCCAGTTGAGCAGCAGAAATCAGGCAGGCATCAGACTTCAAGTGGGGGGTATCTTTCAACTTCCGTCACACAATAAATTTATAACTCTTTTGCCGAGGTAATGCTCTAGTTGACTGCGGGATAGAGAGCGACAGAGATTGCAGGCACGGCTTGTGGAATACCCTGTATTGAGCTATAGTTAGTAAAGTGTTTCTCGTTTAATGACAGTGATAAAGATGACGATTTGAGGGAGGGGTTTTAGAAAATAAGGCTTATCAACTTGATCAGAAAACGATTAGAAATATTTACCATCGGGAATATAATTTACTTATGAGTGATATTCAAGAACCTCAAATAATAATGATTCAAGATATTTCACAAGTAGATATAGGCAAACGGGTGCAGATATTATAATTCTCCAAGAAAGAAAGAATTCTACATTTAAAATTGACGTTTTTACTTCTTAGTTATTCTTTAGTTCTTATTGCCGAATTGATGGACCTCATTTTGGTGTTAATAGTTTTAGTTAGCTTTAAGTTTGTATATATTCATAAATCAGTGTGTGAAAGGCAAGATTAGTATCTTTGTATATATTCATAAATCAGTGTGTGAAAGGCAAGATTAGTATCTTTTAGTAGAAGATAGGTAAGATTTAGGTCTATATTCCCTGCTTCTTATCTGTCAATAGTGATCCAGTATATGCTAGCATGATGAGGTTGAAAATGTTACTCCTTATGCGCTTCTAATAGTTGCAGGGTATATGAAATAATACATACAGCATCTCTCCTCTTACGACTCTCCATGTGTGTGTATCTGTGTGCTTGTGTTTGTGCGACATGCGACATTATAATGCCACATTATGTTGCCAGTGCGTGAAAGAACCGTACATCAGAGCATTGCAATCATAAATCAAAATCCGACCAAAACACATGAGAACGTTGTCTATGCGCCAAGCTCTTCTGTTTGGTTCCGTTTTTGCTGCGGTTCGGTTCGGTTCGGTTGGGTTCTGCTCCGAGCTCTGAGCTCCACGGAACTGCGTGTGTGCAGCTTGTTTGTATCTGCTGCAAGTATTCGCAAAATTATTACACTTGACATGATTGAATATACCGCTGAGTACGACACAACACACACACACACACAGACACACACACAACGACACACATACACACACACGCTCACATGTATGCTGCTGGTCGCGACCAGTGCTGGACATTGCTCCAGTCCTCAGTTCCAGTTCCCCTTTGCCTACCAGTTGAACATAATTATACCCTGAATTCATTGTAAAGGTGTTTAGCGAGTATTATTAATGAAGGCAAAAGCTTGTAACAGGTATATTGAAGGTTCTGCGATGCTATAAAGTATATCTTTTCTTGATCAGCTTCGAATCGATTTAGTCAGGTCCGATTGCCCAACCGATCTCAGATACTATAGGAACTCGAGACTGCAAATTTGGGTTGAAAGTTCCGCTTATAGTATCTGCTAGTTGATCACTTTCTTATATGCATTTCGTGCTTATTTTCTTGTGTAAGGTATCTGCTAGTCGAGCACCCTCGATCTGCACATTTCTTACTTGTTTCGCTGCTTGTGTTCCAGTGGGCAATTCCCGTTGCGCTGCTTGTAGCATGTGGCAAGTTGACATACCGCATAAATGTAAGAGGCTACAATGTTGCAGCTCCGTACACGGCTGCACTGTGACTGTAATTATTAATTCAAATGTGGCAAGCAATTGCCAGTAAATCAATGCAAGCGATTCTCAAAGAAGCATCCATTTTCGTAGCTTTTGACTCTGTATCGATTTCGTTGGGCTTTCAACTAATAAAATAAGTAAAAAGGGAAGGTTTTGTGCCTCAAGGCATCTTCATTAAAAGCTAGTCTTAATTTGCTGGTTAAATTTTTAAGGAGTTTGCAAATCATATTAAAAAAATTATTAAAATCGATCAAAATTGCTAAGTAAGTAAAAACTATGTGTTCTTTATGCGATATCGATGAAATGAAATAAAAATGAATAAGTCTCTACCTGTTTGATGCTGATCAAGAATATGTATTGTTTATGGGGTCGAAAGCCAGTTACTCTGAAGTCTTTGTCAAAATGTGTTTCTAAATTATTCAGCATATCAAAAACAATATTCACAACACACCCAAAATACACCGCTGCTTTCCGCCATAGTTTGTCCAAATTGGTGAGTGCAAAATGGGGTCTGACTTGGTTAAATCATATGACAATAGGATATATATAATCGCTTAGCCACTTTGCCATGTGTCTGGAGAGCAAACCGGGCAACAGCAAAACGTTGTCGCTGATCAATCAAGGCTACCAAATCCTGGCCGAATACCAATTGGTCGAGCAGGAGCAGCTTAGGGGCATCTATGCGATACCCAGCTACTCCAGCTGTTTGCTGTGGTTCGGAGTGATCTTCATACACAGCGGCTGCTATGCGGAGAGTGTGTTCCGTTTCTCCATCCTGCTGCCGGATCAGTTTCCCAATGAGCGCACCCTGCCCACTGTTATCTTTCAGCAGGATATATTTCATCCGCACATTTGTCCAATTTCGCATAGTCTGGATCTGAGGTGCTTGCTCAAGGATTGGGTCAAGGATGAGCATCACATTTGGCATATACTCAAGTATATTCAGGCCATCTTTGCCGATCCCGAGGGCAGCATCATCGGCAATGGCGTTGCCAGACCTCTGACCGAGCTCAACAATTTCAAGGCATTCCATTTGCTCAGTCAGAATCGCATCGATTATGTGTTGCGCGTGAGAAACAGCATCCTGTGGAGTTGCAAGCACATGTTCGATAAGCCACCCATCAAGGATCCCCACTATATTGTCCTCGAACGGTATTTGCCCCATAAGCATCTGGCTGTGATGAAGAGCTCGCATTCGCAGTGAGCCTATAACTATATATTATATTGCCACAAATAATTGTTATCATTACCAAGCATATTCGTTGCCATTTTATGTATTAAAATTCAAGTTCTGATTTCAAATTTGAAAAACCGATAAGTTCATCGACTGCAATGCTCTTATTGAAAAGGCATCGATACTTATTAAGGTAATCGAAACTTAACATTGCAGAAAGTGAAAGAGTGCCGTTACTTTGTATATGTGATTTTCTGCGCATTTAATGTCACTTTTGAGCACTCTTGAACAGCGCTGGCATTTTGGCTGGTTAATAGCTTGCTTTAACCTGAGTGCTAGTGAACTATGAAACCATGGACATATTAGACTGTATTTTATTTATATATTGTCAGCATTATGAATTTTATTATATACCAACTACATATATATTAACTTAATAATTAAAATTATATACCAACTACATATATATTAACTTAATAATTAAAATTATATAAAAATCAAAGCCTGATCACATGTGAACTGCTTGGAGTTCTTGTGATTCTTCTTTCTGTATCCATTTTGGATGTTTCTCGCCAATATCTTGGCTTGTCTGCTGCGCAGCAACATTACTGTCAATAATTATAATAATAATGATAATTATGAGTATCTTCCTCAAGCGTCACACACACTTACTGTTACCGTTACCACACTGGCATTCCGAAACATTAAAATTCAGCTTATATCTCTCCGCTTTCATTGCTCTCTTTGCCTGATGCACATTGGCCGAAAAGCTGTCGTCAGGTGGCGTAAAATATACAAAACTGACAATTTGATTTATCACTGCACTTTGTCCAGCTTCGTGAGTCTGTGGGGAGAGAGAAAGAGCGGGGAGAGGGAGACAGAGTGGGGAAATCTGTGCATTGCGTAGCTCTGCAGCTTCTCTTCGTTAGTGAGCTGGTTGCGCACGCAAAAAATCGTTCGTTGCAATTATGGATGTGCGAAGTGCAATATGCCATAATTTAGACCATTTATGACTATGCTTTTAACTTCGCAGCACACACACACACAAACATACACAATTTTTAAACTAATTGCCCCATGCATATGTGTTATGTGCATGCGCATGAAATGTTTCCTTGTCTAAGCATGCAAAATAGATATCAGTGCAGAATGCATGCCAGACCATTTTGGTGGTCTACATTTCAACGGCCTCGACTTAATTCTGGCAGTTCATTTATCTGTTTGCTTTCGCTTCCTGTTCGCCAACGCCTTTCTGTGTAGGCGTTTGCTAAGCACAAACGAAATTTGATAATAAAGCAAATGTGAAAAAACAATTCAACGAAGCTTCAATGCTCTGTCAGAACTCAAGTGAAGTGATTATTGATTTTCTTATTTATCATTTTAATCTTATTACACTATTACACATATTACTGTAAATACTTTGCTGGAGATACCATGTTTTTTTTTGATTCACCTTGTGATGTAATCAAGGGTATTTCATTTGCTTCTAGAGTATCGATAAGTTCACTTTTGGCATTGACTAGAGATAATCTAGAACTCAAAGAACATCCGGTCCGGCTTTGGCTTTGTTTCCACGCCATTTTGTGGGGCGTTGTGCTTAAATGAAGACATATACAGATACATATTTATATGCAATTAAGCAAAAACCACAACAAGAACAACAATAACAACATTAACAATTAAGTTGCAATAAATTTTGTAGCTGCGTGGGCTGAACTTGGACTTGAAAGAGTTGTGTTTTCTGTGTTTTCTGAGTTTGCTTGTTTTTTTTTTATTCAGTTCAGTTCAGTTCAGTTTAATGTGCTTTCAGCTTCAATCAAAATGCAATAAAAATTGTTTTAAGACCGCCGGCATAACACGTGACAAAGGCTATTGTTATATTTTTATTGATTGTTTCTTGCGTACTTTTTTGGGGTATGGTTAAAGCTTGAGTCCCTGGTGAAATCACTAACTGCACTTGACGAAATAAATTGTTAGAAATTCAATAGTACAAATAAAATAAAAATAAAATAAAATAAAAAAAGTTAAGCTTAGACTGTGAAAACTTTGCTGATCTTTGTAAAGACTTTTTTCTGCGAGTGTATCCATAAAATATGCCGCTGCTGCAGTTATCAACGGTCATCAAAACAATTGCCACCATCGATGCAAGGAGTGGAAGCGGTGGCGGTTTTCGTTTCGTTACTCTGACAAGTTGGCGGCTTTTGCTAAACCAAAGAGCCAAAGCTGAAGCTGAAAGCCCGGGCTAAAGTCAAAGACAGAGAGTCAAAGACGAAGTCAAAGCCCGATTCGTATTCAAGTTCAATTGCAACAGCAACAGCAATGGCAACAGCAAGAGCAACAGGTAAAATGAACATTGAATCCGCCTGTGGGCAGTGTTGCAGTTGCAGCTTCAGTTTCGGCAAACGTTTCGATTTCCTTGGAAAAACCGCTAGAGACTTGGCTCTGGCAGCCTCACTGCCTGCTTAGCATTTGGTTGGTTTGCGGTGTGGTTGCAACAACGACGGGGACACAGATTGGTATTTATATGCAAGTTCATGGCATGGCCGAGGCGCGCACACACATCATCATCGATTATAATCGAAATGGGATTGTAAATCAAATCGCATTTCAATGGTACTGACTTTAAAATGGGCTTCATTATCGCCGCAGTCGCCGCAGCCATCGTCCATTGTCGGTGGCAACTGCCGCTGCTGCCACTTCTGCTGCTGCTGCTGCTACAGCTGTCGACGTCGCAGCAACCGCCGCCGCCGTCTCCGTCGACGTCGTCGAAGTGACATTCAATGCCATAATTTATGAGTTTATCTTTTTCGCGCCGCCAAATCGTACGCTAAATGCTGTCTGGCCAGCGAGACCTGGCAGCACAGTGCACAGACCGAACCCCAACCCCAACCCCAACCCAAACTCAAACCAGACCAGAGCACTGCAGCAGAGAACAACGCAGACCATATGCCTCGCAAGTACACTGAACAAATATCTGCATGTGCTTGTTTTAATTATTGTCTATTGCTAGAAGTAAAGCTGAGTCGGAACAAGTTTGAAGTTTAAATATTCTAAAACTCTGTTTAATATAATTGATTAAAGTTTGCATGGCTTGCGGAAAGTTCAAGTATTCTGAGACTCAGTAGGCATTCAAGTATATTTTTCTTCTAGCCAGGAATTATTTACATTATATAAAAAGAAGCCAACTTAAACTTGAAGTATGTAAAAATATTCTCAAGCAATACAATTATATACAATTAATATTCCCAAGCTTAGCAAGAATTTAAACTGTTTTTCTCTAGCCTCGAATCAAAAAATAATCCAATTTTAAGTATGGAAAATTAAATATTCTTGTCTCAGTTCAATATATGTGATGGAAATCGTTAACCTCCAAATCTTTCTTAAAGCTTTGATCACAAAAAATAAGCTTATCTGATTATGGAATTATCAAATATTCTAAGGCTCCATTCAAGACAATTGGATGCAGCTCTTAGCCTCGTTACTGCAACAGCTTTTTCATGTTAGAAACAAACTTTAAGTTGCATTCCCACTTTAATACACTGATTTTGATCAGTGTATATGCTTCGCTCCTTTGGATTTGGCATATGCAAACAAACGGCTAACAAAACCAAAACGTGCGCATATTTTATGGCGCTGCGAATCCCCTTGGTATGGGTATTGGCCATATGTATTGGCAATGGTAATGGTATTGGTAATGGTATTGCTATTGCTGTTGCTATTGCTATTGCTATTGCTATTACTCGACTTGTAGCTGTAGCTGTATCTGTATTTGTTGCAGCTATTCGATTTCTAGCAATACACACACGTTTCTATCTATTCGATTGCTGACCTTACTCGTTGCCGCCATCGACGTCGATCGTTTAATGTTGGGCAATTAAAATTGGAGCTCTCTGGCTTTTTTCCCTATATATATTTGTGTGTGTTGCCTGCACTTTTTTTCTTCTCTTCTTCTGCTTCCTATGAGTTATGGGGCATGCTGACAGTGGGCGCTGTCACCTCTGGGGGGAGGTTGGCGGATGGCGGAGGGTGTGTGGAGTGTTCGTTAAAGGTGCCTCAGCTGCAGTCAATTGTTGTCAGTGCAGTGTGTGAAATACATATGAAAAAAGTGGGCACACAATTGAAAAATGAATCATAAGACTAAGTTTTGATTGGGCTTTAAGTAATTGACAACACCAGCTGAGTCATAAATATCATAAAATGCTTAATACTGGACTAAAATTGATATATAAACAATTTGTAACAATTGCATCATAATAAATAAAATAAAAATAAATTCTTTGCCTGATAAGTTGTTAAAATAATTATAATAATACTTTGCTGGTTTGCTTATAATATTAAAATATAGAAGAGCTTAGATACATTGATTAGCTTCGAGTTTAATCTAAATCTGCTTCAACTGAATCTATCTAAAAACATTTTCTTTGATCTCTGGAAATTTCTCACGTTCTCAACATTCTTCGAAAATATATGAGGGCAAATTGATGTCTTTAGTTCGCACTATTTTTTAAAGATTTTACTTGCTTCTATCAAGTTGCCATAAATTCCACATGTTTATTCTCAACATAATTTCGCCCATTGCTGTGGCAAATCACTAAAAAATTGAACTCAATTGTGCAACACTTTTATTCTGTACGTTGCTTGTACTTAGATCGCATTCCATTCAATTTGCTGCTTGCTCTGATTGAAGTTAAAGGCGGCGGAACATTTTGTGGCAACAGTTTGCCACATTCCACATCACGTTTGCGGCTGCCACAAAGTGCCGACTCGGTGCAGTTCCTGCTGCTGCTGCTGCTGCAGTTCTTGTTCATCGTATCATCAACGGAGTTGCTCACAAGTTGCACACTTCTTTTCAATTTCAACGCACTTGGCCATGTAATCACCGCCGCCTAATTCTAAACCGTTTTTCATGGCCAAAATGCGAACCGGTTGGCCAACTTTAACTAATACATCATTATGCTGGCATGCTATGCTGTTGCTGATGTTGTTGTTGCTGGTGTTGTTGTTGCTAGTGTTGCAGTTGTTGCTCGTAATAATCAATTACGCGTCAGGCACGATCTTGACGCGATCCTCGCATGCCATGGCCAAGGAAAAGAAAAAGACAACGAAAAAGAAAAAATCAAAAGAGT